TCTCGGTTTTGACCAAGCAAGCCCGAAATTGACTTTTGTTGCCTTTTTAAAAAATGTTCTAAATTGTACCGCTTTCATTTGTGGGTAGTTTCTAAATCTTATTTTGAATCATTTGGTCCATAATTTGCTAGATTTAGTTTGTTTGGAGGCCTGTTCAAAAGACAAGGTCGTGGTCGATTGATTACTTGAGTTGCAGATGATTACTTGAGTTGCGGAGTGACGTTAGGGTCGGGTCTAACCTTGATTTGAGCGAATTAGGAATCCTTAGGAGTACATGTTATGTGAATTACGTGGGAAACGGCGTATACGCGAGGTGACGAGTGTATATGCGCCGTTATGTTACTTGATTTCATGTTTTCGTTGCTTCATAGTATATTAGTTACATGCCTTAATTGCTACATGCTTATTTTACTTCCATGCCATAATTGTTACTTGTCATCTCGTTATCCTTGTATTAAATTGTCTATCATTTCCATAATTCCATGCTTATTTGCTACTTGTGTCTATTTGCTTTACTTGCATATCTAAATTGTCCTAAGTTTTATTCGTCTTATTGTTTTGTAATATTTGTTGACTTCTATAATGTAGTTTCACTTGTATGAGTTATTAGTTGGTTGATACCGATGAGTTCGTAAAGTGGAGACATTCGAGTTGTTAGAGATTCTTTGATTATTATGTGATTATTCATTACCTCGTACATTTACTCTCTTGATGTAGAAATTCTTGTAAATTTTGGTTGTTGGATTGCTATTGTTGATTGAAATAGTTTGGGGAACGGGTTGCACGCCGCAATAGAAATTGAATGGTAATGGATTGAAATGGCAAAATAAGGACGTATTATAATATTGACAGATGATGATATGGTGGGATCAAGTTGCGCGCTGTAACAAATTGTTCTTGTTGTATTTGTTTGTGACTGTAGGGTTCGCCTCGGTATGTTGAAATGAATTTATAGAACTTGTTATTCTGGGCTCTCTGGTAATTGGATTTTAAGTTCGTTTTGCCAGTTAACTACTTTATTTTCATTTCATGTTATTATTGTTATTGCGTACAGGTTATTGTAAGTGACCCGCCTTAGCCTCGTTACTACTTCGTCGAGATTAGGCTCGGCACTTACAGAGTACATGGGGTCAGTTGTAGTCATACTACACTCTGCACTTCTTGTGCAGATACTAGAGTTGGTCCCAGCAGTGCTGAGTGAGATTTGCTCAGTTCTAGCTATCAGTGGAGACTTGAGGTACAGCTGCTGGGGGTCCGCTGCCCTGAAGTCCCCCTCTATATCATTTTAGCTATTAATTATTATTCAGATAGTTATGTATTTATTCAGACAACTATTTGTTGTACTCTAGACGCTCATGTATTCGTGACACCAGTTCTGGGATTATATTTGGATTTCGTTTTTATTAGTTTATCACCTTATTTCAGACAATTCAGTTATTGTTGTCATTTAATTGTAATTTTTTAAAAATGGTTAATGAATATAGCTAACGTTGGCTTGCCTATCAACTAAGATGTTAGGCACCATCACGGTCCCAAGGGTGGAAATTCTGAGTCATGACATTTACTCAAAAGTTAACCCTTGGTCAACTCTAGCAACTTAAGCTTCCAAAATAAGACTAAGTGTCCCAAATCATTCTCAAACCTTTCCGAAATAAAATTAATCATTCCCACAAGTTATAAATAATAAACAAATATAGGGGATGTATCAAATAGGTGAACGAGGCTCAAATACGCAAAATAACTGGGTTGTTACTGTTGCGCCCTATTTTGCACAAGTCAAAACAAATACAACTAATGGTCCATCTGAAGTTGATAAAATGAGTGTCGCCACCTAATAGTTTAAGGTATATTAGGGTACCTATGGGTTTGCATAATTATTATCCTAATGATCTACTAGTCGGTGAGATTTGGGTAAGGGTTCTAGTTATTCTAAGGAGAAACTGTTAGGCACCACTCAGAATCTACCTGAGGTAGTTCCTTAGGCTAGGTTCGAGGAAAATGTCTATATTCTACTTAGTCATGTTTTTTAAAGCCTATGAAAATATCCTAAGTTTTAGCTAAAAGTCTACTACTTGAGAAAAGGTTGTGTATGTACTTTGAATATAAATTATATGTTTTTTGGTTTTATAATCTTGAAAAGAAATCGCCTTCTAAAATATGTATACTTATTAAGTTGAAAACTAGATACGATTTATTTTCGAAAAAATCTTGTAAGAACTCTTTTGTTTAAAGAAGTTGTATGTTCTTGGGAAAATATAACTTAGTAAATAAAAGACTATTTGAAATTACGCCTTAAGTTGAAATGGGTATACCTTTATTTGGAAATCAAGTTCCATCAGAACCTCATACTTTAAAATTCGTTGAAGTCCATCAGTTCATAACCATCGACTGTGTTTGGTTTTATTTCTTGAAAATAGCTTTGTAATTCTGTATTTTTGCAAGAGAATTCACTTTGCTTTTGAATCTGTCAAAGTCTAAACATACTAAAAATGGTTAGTGATAACAAGATATGATCTTTCATTTGCTAAGAAGATAAATAAGAGATCAAATATTAAAGGAGCTTAAAGAGCAGAATTTCTGATTTTTATTTCTTTTACCTATGAGCTTTGGTTTGACTATGTTCCTATAGGAAGAATCAAATATCTTACACATTCAATATGGCTAGTTTCCCTAAAGTATGTATATTCACAAAGACGGTAAAGAACAACAAGTCCAATTTATGGATTCTCCACTCAGATGGGTCAATATTTCCCGCCACTCCTCCTGGCCATGTGGTGTAACCCAGTGCCTCATCTTTTCGTTATGGCTCCGGATCATGTTATTGATGCCAACAAAATAATCAACCGTTGCCTCTCTCTGTAAGAAATATTCTATGGCCTATATCTGGAGTAGCAAGTTACAGCCGCTGAAAAAAATAATATCCCCTTGAGCATGCCGATAGTGTTCGAAATGTCTCTGCCAGTATCATATGAATGAGGTTGACTTGCAGATTTCCCTGGAAGGTAGCCAAATCGAGGGGCAGCAGGTTGATATTGATTCGTCCCCTTCTTTGTGGGAAAATCAGCAGTCACAACAATGCTAAAGAAACGTTAAGGGGCGGTGGCTATTCCATGTTGCTTGATCGCACTAAAATTCTTCAAGATGCCACTCATAGCTCTCCCGAAGTACGAATTTATCAAATAGCTGGTCCAAACTCATCCATCCATCTTTGACATTTCTCAACTTTCTGTTGCTTGTCAGACCCAATACATGAGGAACCATTGGTATCTCATGACGACAGGCAGTATTGGTTTTCTCCCGGCAAATGGTAACTCTGTGAAGCTGGTAACCTCCTCTTGTGTCGACGTCAACTCACAATCAACAAATTTTAAGAGCACTTTGGATGGGTCCAAAAACTCTCTCAGCAGCCTAGCGAGGACTTTGTCGACTTGGATGTTCATCAATGCGGTTTTTGCTCCCAAGTGTTTTCTGATCTCATTCACTTGCTCTCGTCGAATGTTCCTCCACCGCTGCTTCAACTTGTGAGGTGCAACCTTGACCATGTTAATCTGGGGTACGTTGTGGTTCATTCAATGTAAAGAGCTGAAAAGTTTGGTTAGTGTTTGCTCCGTATGTATAGTGTCTTATCTGGATTGGTTCATCATTTCATAGAGAACATGTCAATAGGTGCATAACCCATTGACATTAATGTGGCTTTCCTAATCATGAGTCAATACCAAGGACGGACCCACCTAAGGTTTATGCAGCATGGCCTATGATTACTAAGAATAGTTTGTAACCTAATTTTGGAGTTGGACTGAATAACTGCAAGACATTATGTCAATTGGCCAGACAAAGTCGTTCTCTGAAACTAGAGAGTTTTGAAAGAAGGTTCTGAGTGGTGTAAAAGACAACCCCTGCGCGTTATTTGTGTGTGATTGTGTACAACCAAGACTCGGTAGGAAAGATATGATGACAATGCATAAAGCAGTAACAGATAATTATGGTAAAGTAGTAATATAAGCAAACAGTAAGCATGTTAAAAAGATATCCTCAAAGTTCAAGTCTAATATAAGTCTGGTAGGGTGAGAACTTAAGTGTAAAAATCCCCAGCAGAGTCGCCATGTTGTTGCACCCTATATCGCACTAGCCAAAATAAAATACAACTAATAATCCATCTGAAGTTGATAAAAAGAGAGTCGCCACCCAATATTTTAAGGTTTATTAGGGTATTAATGGGTTTTTAAAATTATAATCCTAATGGTCTATTAACAGGTGAGATTAAGGTAAGGTTTTTAGTTATTCTAAGGAGAAGGTGTTAGGCACCCCTCAAAATCTACCCGAGGTATCTCCTTAAGCTTTGGCTAGGTTCGAGGAAAAATATCTATATTCTGCTTAATCATGTTTTTTAAAGCCTATGAAAATATCCTAAGTTTTAGCTAAAAGTCCGCTACGTGAGAAAAGGTCGTGTATGTACTTTGAAAAGAAATTATATGTTTTTGGATTTTACAATCTTAAAGAGAATCGCCCTTTAAAATATGTACAGTTATTAAGTTGAAAATTGGATACACTTTATTTTTGGAAAAATCTTGCAAGAACTCTTTTGTTTAAAAGAAGTTATATGTTCTTAAGAAAATGTAACTTAGTAAATAAAAGACTACTTGAAATTGCGCCTTAAGTTAGAATAGGTATACCTTTATTTGGAAATCAAGTTCAACCAGAACCTCATACTTTGAAATTCGTTGAAGTCTATCAGTTCATAAGCATCAGCTGTATTTGGTTTTATTTCTAGAAAACAACTTCGTAATTATTTTTTGCACTTCTGATTTTTTCAAGAGAATTAGTTTTGCTTTAGAATCTCTCAAATTCTAAATTATTAAAGGATTAGTGATAACAAGATAAGATCCTTCATTTTTTACGAAGATAAATAAGTGATCAAATATTAAAGGGGTTTAAGGAGCAGAATTTCTGATTTTTTATTCTTTTACCTATGAGCTTTAGTTTGCCTATGTTACTACAAGAACAATAAAATATCTGACACTTTCAATATGGTTAGTTTGTCTAAAGTATATATACACACAGAGGCGGTAAAGAATAATAAGTACAATTAAAGGATAGGGAAAGGAGAACTGGACTCTCGCTATGGGCCTGCAAATGTTCAAGCCCAACATAATGTACACGAATAGTGGCCTCGATAGGAACGTGATGACGTATATCTGAAAGTGGACTTGAGCTCCAAATGGGCTCAGCAGGCCCAAATTGAATTCATGCACACAAAAAAAATAAAATAACTAATGTATATCAATTGCAAAAGCTAAGTAAGATAAAGAGTATAACAAATGGTAATAAAGAGCAAAAGAATGTCGTGAGGCAGATTTTATATATTCTAATCTTATGAGGATTAATAAGAGTTAGTGACTAAAAGCTTGGTGTAAATCCTCTCTTATTGATATAATCTCCCTTTTGAGCTCCTTGTACTTCAGAGTTCATGAGGGTCTCACGGACCCCGAACAGTGCTTTTGTCAAGGAGAGAGAGAATAACCACAATGAATTTTTACATCTAATTACCCTTAACCACATTATATTAATCTTCTTCAGAGGTTTAAACATAAACAAAAGAATCAACAGAGTAACTTTATACTGCTAAGATACAAAAAGTAGTTACAAGAGTCATGGTAAACCCTTTAAAGGTTCAAATACATAAGAAACTCAACAACTATGAACAAATGGGATGTTGTAATTCATTTCAAAGCACAAAAGTAGCCAAGGGCACGATATTGACTTAAGAGGAATCATATCAGAGTCATGAGATCACTTTGAAGACATAGTCAAGCAAGAAAACAAAGTGCAGGCAAGAGACATGTTTCACTTCTCATAGAGTTTAGACGCATAAGTGTTACAGTAAAGTATCACACAGAGATGAGCATAAGAGTATGTTATATTGGCTTCACTATAGGTTTAATCTTCCATAACTCTTCTAAGTGAGTTCAGATCATAGGGATTGTTCACAGGTGTTTCTAAAGTCTCAGCATAGTTAACATCAAGCCTATACCTTATCATTTTGACACCTAAGCTGATTATTCTAATCAGAATTCCTAAGGGGCATGCCAATTAGTCAGGGAAACAAAGTCATTAAATAGGAAAGAATTGATCTTACTCTTACTCAATACTGACAGACTGATTATACAACACATATATCATCAAAATTTCTAACTATCAGACTTAAACAAATTCAGGGTGAGTCCCTACGGGAGATGGCACTATCAGATATAAGGAAATAGGTAATAACATCCATTTTAAGGCAAACATGTCATAATGAACTGACACTTGAATATATAGGCAACTAGTATGGTATGTAAATCAAACTCAATACATGATTTTAATTTAAGCTAATATGACAAACATATAGGAATCAGGATAGCAGAAAGTCACAACTAAGTCTAACAATTAAAGTCATGAGAGCATATCATCACTAGCAATGGGAATAGATCCCTTAGTGGGAAATATTCACATACTCAAACCAAGTAAAGCACCATAGCAACCAAGGCAAGTAAAGGTTAGCACATAGGTGCAAATATATAGTCTCTCAAACTGAAGTCAAAAAATAGTTTATTAGCATAGCAAGGATTAATATGACAGAGGTAAGCTCATGTGTAAAGGTCATTAATGTAATGGCAAGAGTCTCACAAAAGCTCAAACAGTCATGAGAGGGTGAGTATTAATCTCATACTAAGGATCAATAGAGAACAATCTTCCTAACACACTTAGCAAGGTTCAGCACGTACTTTCTTGACTTCTCACACCATCACAAAGAACGCACAAGAATCATTCTGTTACTACTACATATGCAGTATACTAATTAGAGTCAAACAAATTAATATGAAGTTGGGAACTAAACCAAATAGCAGAACATTACATGTATCGGGATGGCATAATGAAACAAGTAATGACAGCATACAGATGATTCTTTGAAACTTGATTTTATCCCAACCTCTTCTGCAGGGCAGAAAACCAAGTAGTAGATGTTCAACAGTGATTTAGGAATCCAAACTCATGACCAGTATAACAGTTGAACTCAAACCGGAGAAGAGAAAGAAAATAGAAAAATCAGAGAGTACTTACTGAGAAATTCTTAAACTTCAACTCTTTTCTTTCTTTCTTTTGTGTTTCGGATAGTATTCAATTTGTCTTAGGTGAATACATTGAATTCCCTTTTTTATAGTGGCATACGAGACTTAGTGTCCCGCTCAGATTCAAAATAGTGACTGGAAAGTGCCTATATCCAGATGATGATAGTAATAGAGGTGAAATCAGTAAAGAACAGAGGGAAAAATATCTTAGAAATTACTTGGGCACGAGGGGATGACCGTTAAAGCTTTTGGACTGGTGGTCAAACCGTAATATCAGAGGTCACTACGTTTGACCTATGGATAAATAATAACATTGATTAAACAAGAGACAAGCAGCCATGCATGCTCTGGATTTGAAAGAACATGGGAGGTTTGATGGGTTTTCAAGTTTCACGATTTAGGTCCAGGTTTTAATTTGGGGATTTTGAATTTCGGTGATGATAATGGAAATATTCCACCTGGATTCGCGGCATAGGGGACAGACTGGGTGATTTGAAGTTGATTCTTGTCACCTTGCACAAATTTGTGCAAGGTCTTTGAGGATTGATGGGCTGATGGATGAGGGAAAGGAGAGAGGAAAGGGAAATGGAGGCGGTTAGGTGGTGAGAGAATGATAGGGTTTAGGGGTGTTTGGTAGGTTTAATAAAATTTTTATTATGGGAAAAAATATACTTCCGTTGGATCTCTGTAATCCAAAGGTGGAGATGAGGTCAGGCATATATTTTAAAATAAAGGAATAAATGGGGATTAATGTGGACCCTTGATGATCTGGGCCAGAAGTCCAGATTCTTGTGTTTGTTTTGTGAGTGTGGGAAATAGGCGACGTGGCACGATGCTATTGGCTCAGAGACTCAGAGGAAGTGGCACAGATTGCCAACATGGAATAGAAACAGTGAGTCTGGACTGGGTCAGGGTGTTTGGGCTCGTGTATTTGGGCCAAAATATCTTAAATAAAGTTTAACAATTGGCCACATTGAGTTTAATTGATTAATTACAATTGTAGCCTTTTGAGCATTTAACCCCTTTTTAAAATCAACTTAATTATGCTTAATTTATCATAATTAAATGCAATAAAATATAATAATCAAATATATTACTAATTGCTATAATTAATTAGTTATTGTTATAATATTTTATTAATTGAATTATGAAACTACTTTGGTTAATTAAAGTAAATAAGGAAATATAATTATAAATTTAAGACTAATTCATTAAATTAATTATAAAACTTGTTTATTAAAATATAATGGTTATTTTAATAGTTCAAAACAGTAAGAGTAGTATAATTTATAAATATTTAATATCAAATTACTTTTAATTCAATAATATTAATTATTATTATCTATTGTATTTTAGAAAAATAGGTATTATTGATTAGAAAATATTTAACCATATTTATTGCCAATTAATAATCATAAATAATTTAGAGACTAGACTCTACGTAGGTTCTCTACGTATCCCATCGTGGGAAGGTAGGTCAGGTGTAGTTCTGTTACAACAAAACCCTAACTCTATTGTCTTCAAATGTGTTATCTCTTGATTGCGTCTGAATTGATTGGCTTCGTGCTGAATTTGCCGTCCATTTCTACTAGGATTTGTGCACCTCCCATTTCTTAATCGATGGCCTTCGTGCTGACTTTGCCTCCTCTTAATGGGGGAAATATCTTCTTCAAAACCAACTGACCCGATGTGAATTGCCGAGGTTTCAATTTTCTGTTGAACGCGTTGGCCATCCTATTTTGATACAGATGACCATGATAAATCCTTCCATTCTCTTTTCATCAATGAGCATAAGTTGTTCTTGCCTGAAACATATCCATTCTGCATCATCTAGCTTGGCTTCCTGGATAACTCTCAAATATGGTATCTCGACCTCTCCAGATATCACAACTTCTATGCCATTTACCAACAAGTATGGTTTTTCCCCAGTAGATGTTCTTATGGTAGTGTGGTAACCCGGTAAGGCAAAGGATAGCTTTTCGTACCATTGCATGTGATTGTCCACTTATCTTTTTAAAGATTCTATAGATGTTTTTGGTGGTTGCTTAAACTGCTTCATTCATTTGTGGCCTATAGGCTATGGAGTTGCGGTGGACAATTATGAACTTCTAGAAAATCTCCCTCATGAGATTGCTATTGAGATTGGCTGCACTGTGAATTATGATTGACTCTGGAATCCCCAATAGACAGACTGTGTTTTTACGGTCGAAATCTGACACCACCTTCTTCGTGATAGCCTTGTATGTAGAAACTTTGACCCATTTTGTGAAGTAGTCGATGGCTACCAAGATTAAATGATGCACGTTCGATGCAACAGGTTCTATAGGTCCAATCAAATCTATGCCCCAAGTGGCAAATGGTCAAGGAGAGCCTATTCCATTTAACTCATTCGGTAGAACTCGGATGAAATCCCCGGGAATCTGACACTGTGATACATATGCACGTAGCGGATGCTATCACTTTCCATGGTCATCCAAAAGAATTCGGCTCTCAAAATCTTCTTAGCTAAGGTGAAACCATTCATGTGAGACCCGAACATTCCTGTATGTATTTTCTCCAATAATCTTGTTGCTTCAGCATCATCCACACCCCTTAACAGACCCAAATTCGGGGTCCTCCTATACAGAACTTCCATGTTAAGGAAAAAGTGATTTGCTGGTCTTCTTAAGGCTCATTTATGACCATTAGTGTTATTTTCTTGGTACTTTCTTGTTTCAAAAAACCTTTGATGTCTTGGTACCAAGGCCTACTATCTGGATCTTCATCTACCTGGAAATAGTATGCATTCTAATCTCGAGCCTCTATCTCGATAGGGTTGATGTAATTCTTGTATGGGTGCAGGATCATGGATGACAAAGTTGCGAGAGCATCGACGAACTCATTATAGATTCTAGGCACATGTTTGAACTTGATCTTGGTGAAATTCTTACACAACTCCTTCATGCAATACAAGTATGGAAGGATCTTGACATTCTTGGTGGTCCACTCACCCTGAACTTGATGTATCAACAAATCAGAATCTCCTATCACCAAAAGCTCTTTAATGTTCACGTCGACTGCAATCCTAATCCTTAGGATTCATGCCTAATATCCTGCCATATTACTTGTTCAATGTAACCTTATCTTAGCTGAAGCAGGATAATGTTGTCCCGACTTCGAAATTAGGACTGCCCCAATTCCCACTCCCTTGAAATTTGCTGCCCCATTGAAAAGCATTCTCCACCCTGGATATGAATCTGAAATATCCTCCCTAGTGAACAACACTTCTTCATCTGGGAAGTAAGTGCTAAGTGGCTTATAATCCTTGTCCACCAGGTTTTCTGCAAGATGATCAACGAACGCTCGTCCTTTGATAGCTTTCTGCATCACATACACAATATCGAATTCACTGAAAAGAATCTGCCATTTGGCCAATTTTCCCATAGGCATCGGCTTCTTGAAGATGTACTTGAGCGGGTCGATTCAGGAGATTAAATATATGCTATATGCCAATAGGTAATGTCTTAACTTCTGAATGATCTAGGTCAAAGCGCAACAGGTCCGCTCTAACAATGTGTATCTGGCTTCATATCGTGTGAACTTCTTGTTTAAGTAATAGATAGCTTGCTCCTTCTTTCTAGTCTTATGATGTTGTCCCAACATGCATCCAAATGCATTATTCAAGACTAACATGTATAGCAGCAGAGACTTCCCAGGTTCAGGAGGAATTAACACAAACGGACTCGACAAATACTCTTTGATTCTATTGAAAGCTTTTTGACATTCCTCTTTCCACTTTGTAGAGGCATCTTTATTTAACAACTTAAAAATCGGCTCACAGATTACTATTGACTAGGCTATGAACCTGCTGATGTAGTTCAATGTTCTAAGGAATCTCATCACACCCTTCTTACTTTTGGGTAGAGACAAGTCTTGAATTGCCTTGATCTATGAGGGGTCTAGTTCTATCCCTTTTCTGCTGACGATGAAGCCTAACAGTTTTCCTATGGGGACTCCAACACATATTTTGCAGAATTCAACTTCAAACTGTACCTTTACAATCAGTCAAAGAACTTCCTTAAGTCGTTCAAATGATATGCACTCTTTCATGACTTGATGATGATGCCATCCACATATACCTCGATCTATTTGTGGAAGATGTCGTGAAAGAGGTTTGCCATGGCCCTCATGTAGGTAGCACCGGCATTCTTGAGATCGAACAACATGACCCTATAGCAATATACTCCCCATGGTATGGTGAATGCTTTCTTTTCTGCATCTTCTTTGTGCATCTAAATCTGGTGGTATCCAGGAAACAATTCACGAACGATTGTAACTTATGTTTCGCGCACTTTTCGCTAAGGATATGGATATTCTAAAGAGGAAAGTCATCCTTGGGACTGGCTTTGTTGAGATATTGGTAGTCCACGCATATCCTAATCTTTCCTTCTTTCTTCGATACCGGTACGACGTTTTCCAACCATGTAGGGTAATTGGTGACCCTCACCACATTTGCTTTTATCTTGTTAGTGACTTCTTCTTTGATTTTTAGATTCAAATCTGGTTTGAATTTTTTGGGTTTCTGTTTGGTTGTTGGCCCAGCGGGATCAGTGGGCAACCAGTGCGAGATGATGTCAGTACTTAAATTGGGCATGTCGTCATATGACCAAGCGAATACATTGATGTATTGTCCGTAGAGCTCTTCCAAGTCTTCCTTCTGTTCTGCTTTCAAGTGGATGCTGATTCGAGTCTCTTTCACATCTTCTTCACTTCGAAAGTCAATCACTTATGTTTCTTCATGATTGGGCTTTTTCTGGCTTTCTAGCTGCTCAGTCTCTTGCAGGTGGTTCTTAGGCATCATACTGTCATCGTACTCTTCATAGTCCAAATCATTTTGCTCACCGGTTTCGTTAGATGTCAAAATCGTGGAATGCGAGTTTTTATTGATTTGATTACTAAAAAGATAAATTGAGTATAGATAAAGATAAAGATGAATTTGCGATGATTTCATGAAAGTAATTTTTTATTTAACCAAAAAGAACGTCTCAGTATATAAAGAGGCAATTTAACAAAAAGGTACAAGCATGGTTCAGGACTCAATTGACCATGCGCTTTTTCAAAATTACTACAATTCCATACTACCAAGACTCCCGCCGAACCAGAGACAGGTGGTCCAGTTTTTCAATGTCTCTCTAGGTTTGGCATTTTGAATAGTCGGTGTCTTGATATCATCTTCGTCGCAACATTCCTCGATCATGGCTACAAAAAATCTTCCCATACAATCATTGATATAATCATCTGGTGGTGAGCTCTGACCGGGTCCTGGAATATGCTCTGGTACCAAAACCTTCTTCCTAGGGTTATCGTTGTATGTTCTTCCAGTTATAGGCTGATACCTCAAGCCGGTGGTACTTTTCTGCCCATTCGATTCAATTGGCTCTGCTATCCCATCTGATCGGTCTCCTAGCCCATTCCCTGGTCGGTATCCATATTTCATCATTTCCTACATTGCCATCTTTAACCTATAGTGTTACTGCATGCTGTGATTCTACTCATTCTTCTACATTTATGTTGCTTGCATGATCTTGATTGCATGGATGGCGACCCCATCTAATCCTTCTATGAAAGGAACTGCATTC